TTTATGCTCCTGGGGCGGTTCATTCATGCGTTCCGGGTCGAGATTCACATTGCTCCGCCTTGTTGCAGCAGCCAACAGCACCGCAGCAGCAGCAGCAGCAGTTGATTTTCGTGATTCATGCATAATTACGGCTATAGTGAGTGCCTTTATATATATGCATAGAACGAATATATGTATATGTATGTGTGTAGGCACACACGCCCGTCTGACTGGCATATAAATCAACGACCAAACAACAATCAAATGTCCGCCGGATTGTCCAAATGTTTGAAATGATTGTCATGCTGCGGTTGAAATTCAAGTTGGGCCCATATACATATATCCCCCTTTATACGAATGTCCTCTGAATGCCGGATTATACGTTGTATACGTTCCGTCAACAAATGCATTTCATTTGTATATTTATGTAATTCCATTTCCATTTGAAATGCAACAAAATATGAGCACATCATATAAGCTCTTTTAAGCTCAACTTTATGAATTTCTTACTTATATGTGTATGTACATAGTATATGTTTTTTTCCCGTCTGTACAGTAAAACAAATTACGCGTTTTTTGTACTTGATGAAGTCTATTTGAGTTGTTAAAAAATTTCCGTTTCATAAAGCAAAAACTTCTTCAATTTTATAATAAATATTTTCGCTTAATTAACAAAGTAAAATTAATTTTTAACTCAATTCGAAGAACAATAGGAACACTCTGCTTAAGAAGTCAGTTGTATATATTCTGAAATAAACAATGGAATAAAAGCTCTACTGCGGATTTATTATCTGTCTTTCCTTCTCTCATTCTCTAACTTTCTCTCTCTTCTTCGTCAACTCTTTATCTACATCCCAAATCTAATGTCAGAACATAATGTTTTAACTATTTCATTCAACTAGACAGGCGTTTAGAGCAATTTCGAGTATGTTCTTTAATTCCATTAGGAAAGTTTCAGCCCACTTTACAGGACATTTTAACGCATTTGTGTGCGTGTTTGGGGGAAGACGGGACACACAGTGCACACAAAGTTTTGGCATCAAAAGCGCGTTCCATTCAATGGAGAGTGCTGTCCCCGTCGCCCCCTCACAATGTTAATGCTTAAAGTGTATGCGGTCAAAATTCAATTAAAATCAAATGTGTGCTACAGCTATTGTTGCGTTAACTTTATGTCCGAAGTTTTTTGGCTGGGCGCGGTCAATTGAAAGCAATTAAAAGTGGGCGGGCTCCCCCTCTCTCTCGCTCTCTATCTTTGTGTGGAGTATAATCCAGAAATTGTGACAGAAACCTAAATCGTTTTCAAGTGAAAACTGTGCTTAGGATTAGGCCAATGGCTGTGTGTGCCTGGGCGTGGCCCCTAAGCAGCTCAAGTGCTTAGCACAAGAACCTTAAATTTTGAGTTACGCTGTTGCGGATTTTTGGCTGCAAAGTCACGTGGCTGAGTCCGTCTAAAGCAGCAGTAAAAATTTCTTGTTATTATTATTACAGCTTTCGTTGTTGCTTTTGCTGCTGCTGAATCTGGTGCTGCTGCTGTTGCTGTTGCTTCTTATTCTTCTTCTTGTTATAGTTTCACTACCTTTTGTTATTGTTTTCATGTGTGCCAAGATTCTGCAGCAGCGCGAAATTCATTTTTATTGCATACTTTTTTGGGGGCGCATTGCAAGACTCACAAAATGGCTGCCAATGCACACAAAATGGCCGCCCAGCTAACAAAGCATTTGCAGCAGCATATACAATTGGGGCGTGGTCGCATTGGGCTTTACAGCAATTATTGCGTGTGTGTGTGTGGGTGGGCGGTCGTGTGGGCGTGCATTTAAAAAGATCTATATCGTATGGGAAGTACGAGTAATTAATAGCTGCACAAAAGCGCCTATGCAAACACACACATACACACACACACACACACAGCCGCACACAGACACAGATTATTGGGCGCCTTATTGCTATTGTAGTTGGGCGCTGTAATTAAAAGATTAATTTTTAATGTGCGCTTAGTGGAAAACGAAGCTAGAGATTGAGCATTAGCCAGCCGCTGGCGCATATAAATAGAAAGGATTTTACCAGCAGATACACACACACACACATATACAAACATGCACACATACACCCTACTGCTCACAAACCCACACACCGCATACACACATTGTAATTTATGCTCCATTTCTGCCCACTGTTTCTTTTTTTTATCAAAGTGCAATTTTATGAGCCCATTTTTTATGTGCTCAGCTCTCCCACACTCTCCCTCTCCCTCTCTCTCTCTCTCGTGCTCACTCTAGCTAATATTTTAAATATGTCTATCTCGCTTGCAGCCTTTGCTCTCTTTCTTGCCAGTTTTGTTTGTTTTGTGTTAAATTTTTTATTATTACGCGAGAGATTTCCGCTTCGGCCCGCCTTTTTTCGACTCTTCCACTTTTTTTGTTTCCTTTGCGCTCCCTTATTTCTGATTTTTCGCTTTGGCTTGCAGCTGAAAATTAAATGTGCACACCTGTAAATTTTTAATGCACTTTGGCATAAGCTTATTTCATACACATTTTTGTTGCTCCCACTTGATTAAAAAGGTAGTTCATTTAATATTTAACAAGCTGCAACAAATACACTTTGAAAAAATGTTTATATTCGTAAAATCTGAAGCGCGTTGATGCGCACTGCGATGAACAAGTTATTATTAAAAATAACTGTTGAGAATTTTATAATTTTTTAATTGATTTGAGCTTATCGCTTGAGCCAATTAGAAGGCACAGGAGAAGAGAATGCGATTTTGATATTAATCCGAATTAGTCTTTGTTATGGCTGACAAATGAAATTATATAGATGAGATATTAAACGCATTAATTTTATGATTTTGTTATGATTTCGAAATGAAATTGTATGTCACATATTTTTTTATTTGAATTTTAAGAGTACAAGTCGAAGAGAAGTATGATATTAATGAAGATCTAATTTTGTAAAAATATAATATATGAATATAAATTATAGCGAATTTAATATGTGAGTATAATTATATTATTATATATTTAAATTGATTTTTTTTTTTTTTTTAACATATGAATATATATATATATATATAGAGAAATATTTAAGTTGATTTTTTCCAAAATGTTCTACATGATAGAGCAAAAAAAAATTTTTTTAAATGGTTTATAAAACAAATTCATAAAATTAAAGCGAACAATCTCATTTAAATGTTATATTAAATTATATACATATATATACCGATTTTATATTTATTATATGCATTTCTTTTTCAGACTCTATCTATAGCACATTTTCTGCAGCTAAAAATACACTTTTAGCATATCAACAATAAAGAAACTTTTCCAATTTAGCTAAAATGTTCAGCTTACTATAGAAGTCCCCGCCCCCAGCACCAGCACCACTTATGCACTCTCACACCACTTCTAGCTTGTTAATCGTTATTTTCTCTACGTTTCTCTGTCGCTTATCTATTTGTTCGTTCGCCTGCCAGACACGCTTTATCCTTATTCATGTCAACAGCCGCTCGCATCTGTGCGTGCACTATCATTAATATTTAAAAGAGCTAAAAGTAGCCAACACTCATTTTTTTTCCTGTTTACCAAAAAATGTACAAAGACAAAGCGCGCATAATTAGCAACAATACAAAAACAAATAGAAAACGACAACAACAACAACAACGAGAGCTAAGCGCAACTGGGCAGCCAATTAGTGAGCTAAAGAGGGCGTGCCCAAAAAAAAAACACTGATAGAAAGAGAGAGAGAGAGAGAGAGAAGGAGTGTGTAGTCAAAATAAAGCATGCAACAAAAAAATAGAACGTCGCTCAACCAAATAAACTTGACAAATTACACGCTCCGTTTGCCATGCACCAAAAACGAGATATAGCAGTATACATGTATATATATATATATATCGCAGCTAAGCCACTTTCCGAAGCTAACCAAAATGCAAAATGAGATAGAGGTTTGTAATGCGATACAACAGCAATTACAATTAACGATAAAGCGGCCAAAAGGCAACAGCAATAGCTGCAGCCAGTGACACGGGGTAATGTGGTGTCACTAGTGCAAGCCAATTGTTGGGGGGTTACAACAAGTTGTTGTTGTTGTTGTTGCTGTTGTAGCTTAGTTAACCAAGCATACAAAACCAACAAATATTAGCTCGTCATGTATATGGATAGCTTGCTGTTCTACTACCATAACTGCCTGAACTAATAACCGCAAAAGTCTAAAACTTGATTAAACTGCGGTTAATGGGGCACTCTATGTGCTCAACGATCAACATCTTGCCTAATCATGGCTCAGCTCATGCTGGCATATCAGCTAACATCGCGCTATTACATAACTCGCTCTCTGTGGCTTGGCTTTGACAATGAAGCCAAATGCGACAGGTGGCTGTGATGCGATGCCAGCCGACAAGGGCAAGGTAAACCCAGGCGTTGGCCAAGTTCATATTCAGGTTTTCTTATATGATCATGAAAATGAAGCAGAGCTATTGAAGATGACACTGAATGCAAAATAATTTCTAAAACATTATAGAGAATATTCCCAAAATCTCACACTCTGAAATAATAAATGAAGAGCGACAATGAACAAATAACTAATATTATATATAAATAAAATAAATATTCTTCCCTTCGAATTTTTTCATTTGCCTGATGATGGAAAATGCAATATATATAATAAATAATTCAAAACAAATCATTTATATATTTATTTATATTATAAATCGTAAAAATATTCTATTTATTATAGGCAATATATTTGTTCATTAATATTTTAGATAAATTTAAGGCAAATATAAATTTGTTTATTATTCTTAAGACAAATTAAAATTATTTAAAAGTATCTAAGCAAATACTATAAAATTTATAATAAAAATAAATTTAAAAAAAATAACCTGTTTAATTAGAGAAATTTAGAAATCAGAAACCTTGACAATAAAATAATAATCAAATAATAATGTACACAAATACACGTCCTTTTTTAATCAGTCGAAAATTCAGAACAAAGGCCATAACATATTTTTGGGAAATATTGATGGATATCAAAAGTGTATAGAAAATAAAAATTCCAAAAATTTAATTCATTTGCATTCAATGTCAGCCGTTTGATTGTCAAAATTTTTAGGTACTCGCAATCTTTTTGCTTTTTATCAATTCCCAGGCAAAGGTAATATATGGGAGATGAACGCATTAGAACATTGCCCAACTAATAAACACCTTAGATGACTACGTTAAAAAAAAATTTTAGGTCTAAGAAGGTTCCCAATCAATGCACACGTCACTTTGATATCACAAAGCTAATACCTAAGCCCCGGAAAAACTTCCGGACTACCGAAACCAGCAAAGGAGCCGCATCAGTGAAATCGCCCATAGCCAAATCCTACATAGACCCAAGAGTCCGTGGATATGTCAGAGTCCCAGCCGACTGGCGGCCGATCGATGGCGGCTATATGCCAGACGATCGAGGCAGTCCCTATTTGCTGCTCTCCGAGGACGAGGACGACTTTTCGCAGGTGAATGAAAATGCAAAGAAGCTACGAGCACCTACCTGTCACAATGTGTTGCATGAACCGCGGCTGAAACTTGAGCCGCCCGATGTGAAGCGCCTGGTGCGCGGCATACGGCTCAGCATTTGTGTGGAGCACACCCACTTTCCACTGATTGCCAAGGTGTCGAAGGGTCTGGGCCTCACCCACGTGCCAGAGCATCGCCTGTGGAATGTTCAATGGTGCGATAATACGCCCCATTTCGATCTACTGAAGAGCATGAAGCGATTCCAGCAAATCAACCATTTCCCCGGCATGATGGAAATCTGCCGCAAGGATCTACTCTCACGCAATCTGAATCGCATGCTCAAAATGTATCCAGGCGACTATCGCATATTTCCCAAGACCTGGCTGCTGCCCACAGAGTGAGTTGCGAGTGCTCTACACCAATTCGATTCATTGCTCGGCTAACTTTTTCCTTTCAGCACCTACGATGTGGCTGTCTATGCTAGCAAGCACAAGCGCACGTTCATACTCAAACCCTATTCATCGGGGCAGGGGCGTGGTATTTGGCTAACCAACAATCTGCGCACGGTGGGCAGACAGGAGAAACTGATCTGCCAGACGTACATTGAAAAGGTGAGTCAAGCAAACGAGCATCATGTTCGTTGAATCTCATTTCTTTATTATTCGTAATTAATTTTTGATTTTCAGCCTTAATGACCCATACTCAATCAGTCTATCTCTCACTTTCTTTTCCTCGATCCCTGTTTATTTATCATTTTGTCAAAGCGACAGAAGCAAACAGAAATAGATCTAAATCCTTTTTCTTTCCATTTGTCTCTCTTCTCTCTTTTCATTTCTTTCTCATTATATCCCTTATATATTATTTATCATTTAATTATTTAGTCAATTTTATCGACAAACTTTATATTTAATTATCATATATTATATTCAAATTCTCAATTTCCCCTGCCTTTAGCCCCTCCTTATCGATGGCTTCAAATTTGATTTGCGTGTTTATACGCTGGTCACTTCAGTGGATCCGCTGCGCATCTTTGTCTACAACGAGGGCCTGGCCCGCTTTGCGACCCACAAATACAAGCCGCCGGCCCTGGGCAACAGCAACAATATGTTCATGCACCTGACCAACTATTGTGTGAATCGCCGCAGCTGCAACTATGATGCGGGCACTGGCAATGACAAGGGCTCCAAACGGAAATTGAGTGCATATAACAAGTGGCTCGCCGATCACAATTACGATGTGGACGAGTTCTGGGCGACGGTGGACGACGCGATCATCAAGACCGTGATCAGCGCTTGGCCGGTGCTCAAGCACAATTATCATGTCTGCTTCCCGAAGCACGACAAGATACAGGCCTGCTTTCAGCTGTTGGGCTTCGACATACTCGTCGATTGGAAGCTCAAGCCGTACATACTGGAGGTGAATCACACGCCCAGTTTGGCGGGCGGGGAGCCAGTTGACTTCGAAGTCAAGCGTCCGCTGATACGCGATACTCTGAACCTGATCAGCATGCCCCTGGTCGACAAGGAGGAGATCATACGCGAGGATCGTGCGCTGCTTCGCGATCGTCTGATGAGGCAGATGCATCGACGCCGTGTGGTCACTCCGCCCAAGGACGGTTCAGGACAGCGGCCGGCCGGTGGCGCCGACGACAATCCGGCGTGCTCGCTGGGCGCTCTGGCGCAGCAAATCGCCTGGGAGGAAAGCCATTTGGGCAACTACAGGCGCATCATGCCGCCCACCGACAGTAATCGGATCAGTTACTACTTCAAGTTCTACAATCAATACAAGGATATACCCATGTTCAAGGACAACATAGCCAGCAACAGTCGCCACCGTGAGCACTTGAGGCAGGAGCAGCTCCAAAACCAATTGCAAGACGAACACTCTCAGCTGAATGAGCAACTGCAGACACCTCTGCTGAGCAAGCAAATGCTCAAGCAGAAACGCATGCAAACCCTGGCCATAATCAAGGACATACACGTGCAGAAGGCCAAGATGTTGAAGCAGCCGGAAGGCAAGGAGAGGGTGGGCTTGTGGCAGATGCGCAATACGCCGGTGCGGACGGAGGTCACGAGGCGCCAGGATCCAGAGAACTCTAGGAAATCCTCGGGACAGCCATCGAGGCACTCCTCGACGCCGTCCTCAAAGAGATCCCCGAGGCCGTCCTCGAGGCATTCTTCAAGGCAGTTCAGAAAGCCAACGGATTCAGACGAATCAACCGATGCAGGCGAGCACAAAGCTTTGCCCGAGATCTCGCCCAGCCGCATCAAACGCATCCACGTGCCCAACGCCAAGGCAAGCCGACGCGCCAAGCATCGCAAGCTGCAGCAACGCATCAAACGATCGCGTCGCCTGGAGCGTGAGTCCCGCCTGGACGCCGAATTCCTGGCCAAGCATAGCATTGTGGCCAATTCGCGCCTGATAGCGGGCAGCTCCAGGCCTCAAATTTCCGCCACAACGCAAATGTGCAGTAGGGCTGTGCAAATGCCATGCCAGCTGACCGAGCTTGAGTCCAGGCTGAATGCCTTTAACCAAGTCGAGCTAAAGTCCTACCAGGAGCTCACGTTCAGCAAGTACAGCGATCAAAACATTGACTGGCTGCCCGAGCCCATCGACGAGGCGGACAATCAGCAGCACTTCGAGTGGCGGACAGAACGTGAAATGGCTGTCAAAAACAGCATGTTTAAGGAGGTGGTAAGTAAATGAATGGCAGTTCCCTTTAAGATCACTTGTTCCTATTGATTTCTAACAGATAAGAACTACTATATCATAGACGCATTTGTTAAACTAGACTTTGCTAGTTGAGTTCGATACATGTCAAGTTCGTAATTACGTAGTTTTTGATCCAGTCTCTTGAGAATTTTCGATCGTATGTATTTTAACATATTTGAGTCCCATGTGTTTCATTGACTGATCGACACGATTTCAACAATACTGATATAGTAGTTCAAAAAAGGTGATTACTGTTCAATGTTAACTAATTTCGAGCTATTTTCTTAGCTGTTCCATGAAATGTACGAGCGCGGTGATCTAACCAAAAATGATATTAGACTATTTCCAAATCTTCTGTATTCAATACTGCGCCATCAAATGAACAATAAAAATATTTATAGTTCCTATAACAAATATAATAATAACACAGATAAGGAAAAGTCTAAGGAAAGTATGTTGGTGGCAATGAACTGAATGCAGAATATCTTAAATTGAAATATCCGAAAAACAGAGAGAAACAGTAAGAGACAGAAACATAGAGAGAGAGTTGGTAAGTGCCTCAGCCCGAAGCATTCTAAGCAAACCCCATTCAATTGCATATCTTCAAGATCTGCAAGTAAAAGTAATTTCCGATTCTTCTTTATCGCATAAATCTGAAGGCCATCAGCATCATCATCAACATTACCCATGAGCAAGTACAGTTACTACTATGTGAGAAAACCTGAAGTGTACTTCGTCGTTATTGAAACCTTCGAAGACCGAAGTATTTTAAACTTAAATTTTAAGTGTAAGTTTGCCGCGAATATTCGAAATTGTAACAAATATGGATAAAAAAAAAAAAGAAAAAAACATTACGAAAACAAACATGAAATTCTTTCGTTTTCATGGGCTTCTCTTCTAGATACTCAACTATCATTTCGGAAGATATCAGCGTACAGATTATTTTGGTATATACTTATATAAAATTAATTATTGTGTCGTATTTACTTAAGCCGAGTAAATGTGACGCCTGATGAAATCAAGATCAATGTCATCTCTGAGTGTCCAAAACGAAGCAAATAATTGTAAGCAATAAACAACAGTTCATGTATACACAAAGGCATTCAATAGTTATGTTAAGCATAGAAAACATTGAATTTCTTATAAAATAAACAGATCTATTTCGGAAATATCTTTAAGAGTTATTTAGCATACTCGCGTGTTCAATTCGAGCTGCCTCGGCATCTGATATTGATTGCAATCGCAATCGTGGCAATACAATTTTCATAAACTTCTTTTGCAACCAGTTCATAAGCATGAAAGCCTCCCACCAAGCCACCTGCCCTGATTTGTCAAAGGCAACCCATGCAAAACTTCTCCTAACCCCAACGAAGCCATTCCCTCTAGATAACTCTCAGCTGCCAACATCTTTGCGCTTTGATGCTGCTCTAGCATGCATAAACAAAATGCAACACAATACGCTAAACTTGGGGCTTGGGGCATGGCGCACGAGCGCCTGGCGCAGTCTTCAAACTTGCATTATTGAAAACTGCAGTTGGCTACGCTTTTAGCTGCTGTTGCTGCCGCCGTATGCAAAACAGCCATCGCACTTTTTCACTAGGCGATGGCAACGGAGGATGCGGCTGCTGCTGGTGCCGCCAAGCCAAAGGACCTGCCTTTGGTCTAGGGGCTTATGCTCTATGGTCTGTGTCCTATGGCTTTGGCTTTGGCTTCAGACGTCAACGCATGTCCTGCCTTCCCTTTTTTTTTGAATATTCTTTAAAATGCGGTGTAGTAGGGGCATTCTCTTTTCGTGCAGGCGTATGATACAGGCAGCCAGACAAATTTAAGACAATAACTTATACTATAAATGCCTGAACAGATAAGTTGATTTAAGCTATGAAGGCATCTTTTACTCTTTACCTATAACTGGGGCTACAAGTTTGATTGATGAATCTATAAATGTCTTACATATGGAAATCTTATATGTGGTTATACTATATTCATAATTCATGTTAAGATTAAGAGAACAATAAGAAAACGGCAAATAACATTCATATTGTACAGTCAAGTCTGGATAATTTGTACCCGGCTAAATCGAAAATCCCGATAATTCGAAAAAATAACTCTATTCTCAGTAATTCTCAATAATCATAACTTCTTTGTAAATCGAAAAACAAAAAATTTATCCCCTTGTCATTTCGAATTATCGGGATTCTCCTGTATTTAGAATGTATCATAACTATATTTTCTATTATTTTTGAAGAGATTATAAATCCACAAGATGGTTTAGGTCTGGGCAGTCTTTAAAAATATATATGTTAAAGTTATAAATTATATTCATATATCTAGCTCCATTTCAATTCACTCTATAAAACTAATTCATATCACTCAAACCTTAATATTTCGTATATTCAATTGTCTATATTTATAACAACTAAATATCAAAAACTATCGGTATGTGCTAGTCGTTTACTCCCAACATAAAACCCTTAACATTTCTCAGCTGCAACTGCCGTTGTGAATGCCGCTGCTTCTGCCTCTGCCTCTGCTGCTGCAGCTGCCTTTTCAGCCATGTGTCACATATTGAAAATTGTGCAGCAGCAGTCACAGCAGCCAGAGTCAGGCAGTCTTTTGGCTTATGGCTGACTGCCTGCCTGAATGACTAGCTGGCTGGCTGGCTGCCTTTCGGCCAACAAAGTCGAGCACAGCGCCCTGATAAGCCATTCGAAAGAGGGTTTTACATATGCCGAGCTCAAAGCGAAAGACTTCTGCAACGTATTGTGGCAGCTGTGGCGCATGGAGCGCGCTTAATATTTGATTGAACATTGTTGCGCCTGCTGCTAATACTTTTATTGCATTCTATACAGCTTCTTCTTACACATAGTCATCGTCATCATTATCATCATCATCAGCATCAACATCTACATCATCATGATTGTGTTCTGTTGTTCTGAGATCAGCTTAAAGTTCAAGTCGTGCTCTTGCCAGCCTGAAAACTTTGGCCTGCACTTTTCCACATATGCAGCAAAAATTTTCCGTTTGATGCTTTTAGTGTCGTCTTATTAAAAAGTTTTTAATCTTATCTGCGAACCAGCCTCCTCCTACTTTTGATGCTGCTCATCGACTTCCCTTGGGTTGCGTAGCGCCCACGCAGTTGTCGTTTTATTCCCTGATAAGCTCTTAAAATTCCTACCATCTATTCTTTGGTCCCGACTCCTGCTCCCTCTCTCATTCACTCCATCTATAACAAAGCTGCGGAAATGACTGAAGCATTGCAATGGCAAAAGTTTAGCTCATAGTACACTAAGTGTTCTTTTTTTTTTGGGTGTGCGTGTGTGTGTGCGTGTGCCTGTCTACATTGTTGACAAAAGTTGAGGCTGCTATTAGGGGTCGTTTAGCTTGCGATTAGTTCGGCTAAGTCAGTCTACGATGCTCAAACTTCCTGCCTACTTTGCAAGTTTTCGAAAGTTCTTTAGAATTCGGAAATGTCTCAATTTGAAATTGTGCAAAGAAAACAGAAACAAAAACAAAAAAATTAAAACATATACAAAAAGCTTCAATCACATTAAGGGTATTAATTTTAAAGTGGTTTCGCACATTGTTTGGGTTGGGCAAATACTTGCAATTTTTAAATTAAATCGATCCATCCAAGTAACTAACTAACGTAACTTGGCTAAGAGGACAGCAAATTGGGTTAACTTTGTTAGTTTTTGTTTTACTTTTTGCGTACTTTGATTGAACTCTGAAGCACGTCCCCCTCACTTATTTTTACTTGGTGAAAGCTCATGATATATGATAAAATTTATAGCAATCTGTTGCTATTGAAACTTGCTTTTAATAAAACGTGGAAATGTGCTGCTATGTATATATTTGACTCTGTGCGAAACTACTCGGATATGACGCACCTATCATTCCATCAATAATTACTCAAGTCGTAAACATGTTGGTGCACTTTTTTTGGCACATGTATTTATTGATGCTTCGCCTCCTGCACAATATCTGCAGCACACGTTCAGCTCGTATAAAATGTATGTATATATACGTATTCCTTGTACTTTCCGCTTATCAGTCATAAAGCATAATGTGCACTTAATCTTCATTTGCACTGGGACAAAATTACGACACAGCGAAATGCATGCGAAAAGAGAAGGAGGAAGAGAGAGTGGGGGCGTAAGGCTGACTTCAGCTGCAGAGAGCCTTTTAATTTGTGCCATAAAGGCAAAAAGGAATTGCTTAATTCCATGACAAACACTCGCAGCTGGAGTGCATATAAAGGATAGGCCCCGACGGGAAGACAGATCTACAAGCCAGCCAGCCAGCCATCCAGCCAGCTATCCAGCCAGTCAACAGCAGCAGCTCTCCGAATCCCACGGCGATGACTTAAATCAACAAAAGATTTATGCCAGGCAGCCGTATACGGGACAGCAGGAGCAGAAGTTGCATTGAGAGAAAAAAAATCTAGGCGTATATAAATCCTGCAAGTCGGACTTAACGGCAACAACAACAGCAACAGCAACGACAGCAGCATCAAAATCTGTAAGGACCAAAATAGCGCCCGGCTAAAAGTCAGTCAGTCAGACAGCCAGTTCAAACAGGGTGAGGGCGCGTGGCAGGGGGAGGTGGGTAAATTTGGTAAAGCTGCGACAGAGCTCTTGCTTTTGTTGCATGCGAATTAACATGTCTGGCCCAACTGTAGCCAGCCAGTAGTGCTCTATATCCCCAGCAATGTCCCTCGCTCTATAGCCACATGTGTATCACACACACACACACACATACATGCCCATATATACATGTATGTTCACAACTGACGACTGGCACAAATAATTTGCAGTTTTACAGTTTTTCAGCGCTTTTATGCTGCATGTTTTCCACTTCACAGGATTTTATGTGCCACTACGCTCGGCTCAAGTGTTGGAAAATACAATTGCCAAGCTCACACACGTACAGTGAGCGAAAAAAAAAAAACATTTCCGCATTTGTTGTTGATGTTAGTTTCATTTTTTTTTCCGCTACTGCTGCTGCTACTGCTGCTGTTGTTGTTTGTGTTGTGCCGCCAAATGTTTTGCCTTTGCTAAAAAAGACAATAAACTGTGTCAGTGCGGGCCAAAACACATGTGTGCGTGGCATGCATACCCTGTAAACTGACAAGGTTTGGGGCATAATGGTTGAACGGCGCAGGAAATTAAACTAATTCACTATTATCTTAAATTTTGTATCTTTAATGATTTTACTGTTATATCATTTTGTTTATCGTTTTAAAATTATAAGAAACCTATAAAAAACATTTCTTAATTTTAATATAATATTTAAAAAATTAACAAAATAATTTAATAAATTTTATAAAATTTAATAAACATTTAAAATGTCTTTATAATGAAGCTTAAAATAAACGATTAGAAGTTTGGCTCTCTCTCTCTCAATTTCGATCCCATATTCTCCCTCTCTCTCTCTCTCTCTATCATATTGTATCCCTGCATTTACAGGGCATTTGAAATTCGTTTCGAAGATGCCTCTCCTCTAACGTTTTTTAAATGTATCTGCAGCAGTATTTGTTTTTGCATCTGTAACTGTGTTGCAGCAAACACTTGAGTTCTTCATGCATTTTTTATGCACTTTTGTTGCATTGTTTTTTTCTAATTGCTGTTGATATTGTTGGTGCAACTGGGCTGCTGCTGCTGCTGCTGCTGCTGTAGGTTGTTGCACGTCTAACAATGCACTCTGGCTAAACACTCAGCTAAACACACACACAAACAAAATCTGTGAGTGTTTGAGCCATATTTGTTGGCGCTTTAATATGTCACACATTTTGTGTCCAGTTCTCTAGCTAAAAAGTAACACATACATACATATATACGTATATATGTATGCACAGCATATCTGGCCACAAAAGCCACTAAGCAAGCAAGCAGCAAGTGTTCCACAAAAGACACCAATGAAAAATCCTCTAGAAAAACTAACAGTAAAACCGAACCGCCGCCTTTCAGCTGCCAACACTCAGCTGACACACAGCGCACGCAGTGAGGCAACAGTGTGGCAAATAACTGTTGTCACACCACAAACCACATCCACACACACATACATATATATATATATTTATGTATATGTATACTTATATATATATATGTGCTTCTTGTTGAGCTCTGCTCAAGTGTGTGACAAGTTTTTGCAGCCACTCACAACAAATTGCCATGGATTTAGGTATTTTCATCGCCTTGCCAAAAAACTTTACTCAAAGTAGCTTAAAAAACTGTAATATGATAAGTGTAGACGACTTGAAAACACCCTGCATTTCAGATATTAAATAATATGGAAACTTAACTTTAAGTATTAATATAGTATTTAATTAATAATAATTATAAAAAAATAAATAAAACTAAAAAATATAAATAAAATATATTTAATGAAATTCCATTAAAGGAGAAATAATATAAAATATATTCAAGTTCTGAAAACTCTAAAAAAAATTGTGTAAAAAAAAAAATAAAATAACATAATATAATTTGCCATATTCACATCTCCATTTTATATCTGATTTTTATACTTAATATATAATAAAAATATAAATATTTGTATAACGCTTAGGAAACCCCTTAAGCCCCAAGCTTTTTCTGCATTTTTCGATATACATATATGGGAACTAAATCCCCGTCAATTTAATATACACTCTCACGTCGCACACTTGATTACAGGGCATATAAAATATTGTGCGATTTAAGGCTCTGGCCAAAAATAAGCAACAACAATAAAGATGACAACAAGCAGGCGAAATAAGTTCAGTAGATGAAAGTAAAATTTATGTACATCCATCTATATGTATATGTATATCTATCTATCTATATGTAAATATATAGCTAGTTATCTGTAAATATGTATATAAAAATTTTTGTGTGTACTTACAACTGTGATGGGATAGAAAGGATTTATGATAGTGAAGAGTAGAATGTGATTTGGCCGTGTAGTCTCAGGACGCTTTCTCCTTAGGTCGTCGTTTGACTTGTTCAGTAGTGCTTGCTGCTGACTCTGATTTTGTGTGGACTGTAAAGAGTAATATATATATATTTTTATATAGTCAGATATCAACGTATTTGTCAGGTGTATTTTTTGTGTTATAGTTGTTAGATAAAAGGACATACATATTTTAATTTTAACATTTACATTTTTTACTTTACACAAATCATTTTGGACATTTACATAATTTTAAAGAAACTAACACACAGATGCAGCTAAATCAATGCATTATGCTCTATGAATTCTCTAGTCAGCAAGATACCCAAAACAAAGAACACCGACGACTTCAACAGCGTAATATCGAGATATTTCTTATTTATAATTTCATAAAATTTGCTGCCAATAATTTTCAACGGTTCCATATAGGCGAGAAGACTACAAATAGTTTTTTAGATTAGTTGTGAATTTCTCAGAGCTTCAATTGTTCAATGTATTATTTACCACAGTACACAGGGTGCCATCTCTACTTGATAATCGCGTATAAAAGGCTCTCTATTTATACGAAGAAATGCTTGTCGCAAGGCTAGAGAAAAATTCGAAATTTTACGTTTGAAAATGTTTTTTAAAAGTGAATTCTAAGTCGGAGCATTCGAGATTGAAAGAAGCAAATATTTTCACAAGCTGAAAGTTTTGGCTAAACATAATATACATTCCTTTCTGCATCCCTCCTCTTCCTTTTCCCCGCTCTCATTCTCTCTGTGTTTGTATAGCTAAAAAATCAATGCACTAACTAAAAGTCTTTAGCCATTAGCTGGCAGACCACATGTCAGACTGCCTGTCAAATTGTTGTGCACAACCGTTTCCAATAGCCCCAAATGCAATTGATTTTTCAGTTTCTCGTTTTTCCTGGCTCTAATGACGTTCGTTTATTTGCGAACAAAAATTCAAGTCAAAATAAAACAAAGTTTTCTTCATTCTTTATTTTGCATACGTTTTCACGTTAATTGACGCTGTCAACAAAATACTTAAATAAATAAAACAAATAAAAAGAAAATACAACAGCAAAAAAAGTGGGTAAATTCTCTTAGCATAATTTGTTTCGAGGGGCTCTATAAATAATTGCGGAATTTAGGTAAAACATGTTCATGTCACGTTCAAATGTCAATCAACGCTCATGATAGGCCAAGCGGATGATTGCAAGAGGGGGAGCGGAGGTAAGGCGTCACACATTCAGGTGAGAAAAATAATGTTGCAAATGCGAAGCGAGAGAGAGAGAGAGCGAGAAAGAGAAATACAGGGGCAGCACATTATAGACAGGTGGGTGCTGGCGGGCGGGGAGGAGCCAGGAGTTCGCTTTAGCCTTATAGACTTGACATCAAAATGCCAGACATGCGCCGATATTTGCGCTAATTAAGTAGGGCACATGCCAGGAAATGATGACAACGTCTCGAAACAAGTATATTTGGAATTTTCGCATGCTCTATAACTATCAATGACTATCTGAACCTGTCTATTGCGTACTACCAATAGGTTACAGTCATAGAAATATATGTATATTGAAGAGAGATAAGAAGTAAACATAGAGTTCACGTGAAAAAAGGGAAATTAATATATTTCTATATCTACAATTTTATGTGAACGGAGCCACAAAAGAGCTAAAGAGGCAGATCTATAATAAAATATTATAGAGCATCAAGTAAAAAATTACGAGACAAGTTTTTGTAATTTAGAGATAATATTCATTTATTTTGAGAGTTAATCTTTAAATAAACATGCATCAGACTATTAATAGCTCAAATCTTTGTAGTCTTTCAAAAGACACACTTAAATTAAAAAAAAAAAAAAAAAAAAAACAAAAGTTTAAGTATGTATGAAAAACATTACACTTTCAAAAAATTATATAGAAGTTCTTGTTGTTTCCCTTCTTTTCTATCTCTCTTCCTTTCTTCGCTATCACTATCTGACTTTTCTCTCTCTCTCTCCCTCTCCTTCTCTCTCTGATTTCAATATCTTTTAGGCTCTCCCTCTTTCTGATACCTACATCTCTCACTCCATCTATCTATATATCACTCTATATTACTCCCATCATCTCTCTCTCTCTATCTCTCCACTCTAATTGACTTCATTTCTCTTTTGCAATTCTTGCATAACTTTCGCTGTGTGCGTCTGTCTCCTTGAGCTGCAATTCATTAACTAATTAGCGTTTGCCATGATTAACTTTCCCACACCATTTTGCTGCTACTGCGGCTGCTGCTGCAGCTGTTGCGAATTTTGCTGCCGCACTTTCACGTGTCTTTTCACTGTTTATGGTTTTATATATATAAGTAGATATATATATACTTTAATTTGCTGCATTTTTCACAACAGTTCCCTCACAACCCGAGTCACTCACACTTAACCCTTTTCTCATTTTATTTTTATCTGCCGCAGTTAAGTATCTCTGACTTGAGCTTTGTTTTTGTTTTACTTTTTTCTCTCCTTTTCAGCTGGGTCTTACAATTAGGTTAATGGATCGCTGTTGCCTGTTGGCTGCAGCAGTGACGCATACTTAGCACCCAAAGGGTTGACGAGCGACAATTGACACTCTGCAGGTGGGGCAGGCTATCTTAAGGTCACGAGCTGGCTATAAATTGTTCAAGTGATTGACATCGTGACAGCTGTGACAGCTCTATACTCATATATAGTGAGAAGGTGCGAGAGTCTTTAGATCAGTTTTATGTTTGAGTTTTGCAGTTGCAGTTGTCATTTTCCCAGAACTTGCTCAAGTTTCGAATTTCCAGCTAGACTCTTGGGGTTAACGACATCTGCTTTATGGTAAAACCCCTTCGAATATCTCAAGTACAAAGAGTTTATCATGTGCCGCACAGCAGAACGAACTATCATTAGCAATTTTCAATATTTCCACACATTATCTATTGCCTTTTCCCACAGTGGCCTCAAGTGTCGACAAAATTGTGTATTTACCTTGTAACATAATCCAACAAGCAGCCTAGCAGCTTGTGAGGGTTTTCAATCAAAAACACAAACCAAAGAAGAAAACGAATGAGGAAAATAAAAAATAACAGGAGACGACGACGACGAAATATCTCAACAGCTTTGACGCACAATTTGTATGCGAGAAAAACCTCAAGGCAACAGAGAGTGAGAGAGACTACAAAAACATTTGTTTTCTGTCAAATTTGCCTTTAATAATAATAAAGATCATATATTCAACGCCCACCCGCAAGGAAGAGCCGACGACACTGGAAACTGTTGATTAAATTACAACAACAAAAACCCAACCATAGAGAGAGAAAAAGTATCAGAGAAAAAAAGCAAAGTGGAGGCTGTAAGTGAAATGATTGATGGATGTATGCCTGGCCGGGTTTAGGCTTAAGTGCATGGCAACCAAGTAACAGAACAAAAAAATAAGTGGAAAATGATTTCAAATTTTAATTTATTTTGTTTTTTGTTCCTCTTTTCTCTCTCCGTCTCTCCGTTCTCTTGTGGAACGAATAGTTCTATTCGTATTTTAGTTTAGTTTCGATTTGCTTTTGCTTTCTTTCAGAAAAAGCATTTGAAACATTTCTGGCACAACGGCGCGAACGATTTGAAAATAGCCGTGCGGCTGCATACCACGGCGCATTTCAACTCGAACCGCAACGAAATGAAGATGAATTACCCACGAACTATTCGCTAGGGACTATACCGACAGGCCGGACGAATGAACGGACGGACAGACAGATAGACGCGTCAGCGCCCATCGTTGCGGCAAGCAAATCACAAATAAGTTTTGCATCGAGCTAAAAAAGATTTGCACTCACAGTTGATCAAATGGTCAACAACAAAAAAATGAAAAATGAAATAAAACAAGCAAAGTGCGGCGACACAGCCAGAAGATACAGATACAAGCGACGGGCTAAAGATACAGATACAGATACACTTACAAAATGCTTTGCCAAGAAATTTCACACAGCAAAAAAAAAAGTAAAAGAAACAAGTAAATGAAATAAAAAAGCTGCGTCGAGTTGCAAGTTGCGAAATCTCAGATAAAGATTCGTGGCAATATAAATAGCTAAAGATATATGGCCAGAGAGTCAATCCATCATTCTGTCAGTGCCGACTGATGAATTGACATTCATCAAATCGACTTGAGTCTATGCAGATCCACAGTCTCCTGATTTGTAGTTCAGCCGATAATTGTTGAAGACTTGCGGATAGAGAAATGTGAGACAATTTGTTTGACGATTGGTCGAGAGAAAAGCAATTCTTAATAAATAAGCAGGTGTAAGAATAGATAAATATAAAATACTAGAGTTAATGTATGTGAAATTATGGGGTGTTTAGTAAAAAGTGCTTAGAATTAGAAGACAGCAAACAATTCTGCTTATTAAATTATGAATGCAATAATAAAAAAAAAAGTATAAGCGAAACCAAAAATTAGATTAAGTTTTAAATAGCCCTACAAACTTAATAATCATGATTAAGGCCTTATATTGAAACTCAAAAAGATCAATTAAAAGATATCAAATATTTGTTAAACTTAATTGAATATAAATAAAGTTTTCTGTTTTAATTATACTAATTTGAAATCATAAGGACAAAAATTCTCAATATTCAAAATAAAATAATATAGGAAAATATATAATAAGTTTATAAATATTTAAATCCAGAGTTAAAATCAAGCACAATTCTTGCGTAAGAAAATAAGTTTTTAATATTAATTTTAATGTATTTTTTAATTAATATATAAACATATTTAATTTGAATAAAAATTTATATTTGAATTTTATTTTGAACTATAAATAGATAAATTTTTGCTTTAACAAAAATAACTTTTTAAATAAAATTAAGTATATATACTTCAATCAAATAAAAATGTTGAAAAACAGTTATTTTTAATTAAAATCAAAAGCCCTTTAAATTCAATTTGCTTTCAACTTTCTAGCCCTAAAATAAAAAGTTGCATTAAAAATCGCAGCTCATTAGGGAATGCGGCAAAAGCAAATTGAGCTCTAGTGCTGCCAGGCTGCCAGGGGACGGCAGCTGACGAGTGTCTCAATAAATGATAGACTGACTGGACTGACTGAATGATTGACAGAGTGACT